CATATAGTTTAAAAAGCCATATTTGAAAATCTTATTAAATCCTTGTTATTTTTTCATAGTTTTTGAAAGAAAAAAGGTGCCAATGTTAAATGTATGAAAAGTCTAGAGAGAATCATTTCCCGCCAAATTTTCAATCGCTTATATCTCAAAAACAAGCCAAAGACCCTTTATTTTTTTCTGCTTTTTTAGTTCCTTTACCCATATACTTTCAATTTATAACAGTCTTTTAAAAAGCTTGTTATTTTGAAACAGAGTAGCAAACATCCTTAAGATGAGGTTGAGGGTTTATATATATATTATTATTATTCATTTTCTTAGCCAGTAAAACTATGGTTATAGCTTTGTGTTTTTTTGTATATATAAATATATATTACATGTATTATATGATCCGTTCATCCTATTTTGACTCTTTCAAAATTCAAGAGTCTATCCTAAATTGAGGTAAATCATATGGCCTTCCAATAACCGTTTCGATTCCTAACATCACTGAAGACACATTAATTGTCGAAATCTGGATATGGTGTACAAATTTGTGCACCCCCTGTTTGCGGTATACCATCTTTTCTGCAAGTTTATTGTTTTCGTCAATGGCAGTCAGCAGGGTTTAAGAACATCAGTTGTTCGACCTGCTAGTCAAATGCGTTTTGTTAAAATATACTTTTTCCCTCATTTGGTCTTTTGGAAAATGTTGTTTGTGCTGTATTTGGACCCCTCTACCAAGAAATTTGTTTTGCATGCACACGTATAAAAATTGAGGTATTTATCCAACGCAATCATAGGTTTGAACGTTGTTTTCAATTTAGACTTGTTTATATATATATATATATATATTATAAATTTTATAAATTAATAAAAAATGTTATTCAATATGGATAGTGTTTACCTGATTGGCCAAAATTTGCCAGTTATAAACCAAAAGCCAAAACACATGAGGTACATATATATAACACAAGTGTTGATCCTGATAGTTTTTGTCGAGCCTGCGACTTTTGTCGAGACATAGGGATAGTGAGGATGTTAACTAACTACTTGAAAGCTTCATATGTCAGAGGGTAGAAGAATTGGATGCTTCATACTTTGTATAACAATGCTAATATATTATGAAGTTTCTGTCTGTCAAATGTCCATTGTCCTTATCTCATTTTCATGGTTCATTGACTTAACTTGAAAAAAAAGTGAAGATTTTTTTGTAATGTTAATTTCTCTCTTATTGTGAGTAATAGAATAACTATATTTGGTGTGTGTTTACCTTGCAAGGTCCTCATGCCTGTTAGACAGTTTTCACTTGACCTCGACCTCATTTCATGGATCAGTGAACAAGGTTAAGTTTTGATGGTCAAGTCCAGATCTCAGATACTATAAACAATAGGTCTACTATATTTGGTGTGTGGAATGATTGTAAGGTGTACATGGTCCAACTGGCAGGTGTCATCTGACCTTGACCTTTTCATGGTTCAGTGGTTAAACCGTTAAAGTTAAGTTTTTGTGTTTTGGTCTATTTTTCTAGTACTGTATGCAATTAGTCAATTATATTTGATGTATGGAAATATTTTACGATGTACATGTCAGTCTGGTAGGTTTCATTTGACCTTGAACTTATTTTCACGGTCCATTGCTCTATGTTAAGTTTTTTGTGTTTTGGTCTGTTTTTCTTAAACTATGAGCAAAAGGTCAACTATATTTGGTGTATGGAATGATTGTAAGGTGTATATGTCTGTCTGGAAGGTATCATTTGACCTTGACCTCATTTTCAGCGTTCATAGGTCAATGTTACATTTTCTTGGTTAAGTTTGTTTCTTAGATACAATATGCAATAGGTCAAGTAAATTTAATGCTTGGAATGATTATAAGGTGTAAATTTCTGCCTGGCAGGGTTCATCTGACCTTTGACCTCATTTTCATGGTTCATTGGTCAATATTAAGTTTTCATGGTCGGGTCTGTTTCCTGTATACTATAAGCAATAGATCAACTATATTCAGTGTACGGAATGATTGTAAGGTGTACATGTATTTCTGGCTTGGTTTATCTGACTTTGACCTCATTGGATCGTGTTAAGTTAATATGAGAGACTTGTAGTAAAACTTTATATTTAGGACTATCAGCATAAAATCAATGGTCAGTAAAGCAGGCAAGACATTTTAGCATGTGCACTCTTATGATATGAGGCATTAATTTCTAGTCTAATATGAAAAAAAATATTCTGAAGAGACAATAGATCTGTAACCATAACTGGAGCTGCTTATGAAATTTAAAGAATATACCGGGTAATTGAAGATAGGCTGCATGACACAATGCAACAATAAATTGTTCATTTTTATAGGTGTATGATGTTTATTATAAAACATATTGTATACAACTCCAGAATAGAACCATAAAATGATAACATTTATACCTTTATACTGGTTATGTTACTGCTGATGGGGCATAAAGCAATCACCATTCATCAATCAATCAATTTATACTGGTTATACATTTCATCCTAAGTCTATAAACATCTAAGATGTAATTACTGAACTACATGTATATAAATGTTTTTTCATTAGTGAACCTTTTAACTTTAGGTATATTGGAGATGTCTAATAAATTCTGAAATATTGATTACATTGTTTGAATGATATTTCCTTGTAATTATGTGAATATCTAAGCCACCATATATATATACACCTGTCATACAAGTGAGAGGTTTAGCTATAAAACCAACAATATGACAGTTGTTTTCTATTTGATATGTTTGAACTTTTGATTTTGCAATTTGATAAAGGACTTTCCATTTTTAATTTTCCTTGGAGTTCGGTATTTTTTTTATTTTCCACTATGTATGGCAGTCAGCAGGGTTTAAGAACATTTGTTGTTCGACCTGTTAGTCAAATGCATTTTGTTAAAATATACTTTTTCACTTTTTTGGTCTTTTGGAAAATGTTGTTTGTGCTGTATTTAGACCCCTCTACCAAGAAATTTGTTTTGCATGCACACGTATAAAAATTGCGGTTTTTATTCAACGCAATCATAGGTTTGAACATTGTTTTTAATTTAGACTTGTTAATATATATATGTTTATATATGAATAATTTTTTTGGTCTTTTGGAAAATGTTGTTTGTGCTGTATTTAGACCCCTCTAACAAGAAATTTGTTTTGCATGCACACGTATAAAAATTGCGATTTTTATCCAACGCAATCATAGGTTTGAACGTTGTTTTCAATTTAGACTTGTATATATGAACTTTATATTCTGATTATTCAAATTCAAACCTTAATTGACAACTGATTTGTGACAATCTAATAGTTTAACAAACATTTGGATGGAGAGTTGTCTCATTGGCACTCATACCACATCTTCTTATATCTATTGGATGGAGAGCATACCACATCTTCTTATATCTATTGGATGGAGAGTTGTCTCATTGGCACTCATACCACATCTTCTTATATCTATTGGATGGAGAGTTGTCTCATTGGCACTCATACCACATCTTCTTATATCTATGTATAATAAAAGAAAATTATGATTATATAAGAATAATTTTAAGATAAGATATATTTTATTTCCAATAGAGGATCCTTTATGTGCAGGATTAGCACATTAAACATTTACGATATAGATGATAAAAAAGAAAACAACTCAAATATGGAATATAATATAGTTTGAAATATAAGCATGTCAAATACTAGTTGTGGTTTGTTGATGTGGTTCTCGTTTCTCGTTTTTTATATAGATTAGACCGTTGGGTTCCCGTTTGAATGGTTTTACACTAGTCATTTTGGGGCCCTTTATAGCTTGCTGTTTAGTGTGAGCCAAGGCTCCGTGTTGAAGACTGTACTTTGACCTATAATGGTTTACTTTTATAAATTTTGACTTGGATGGAGAGTTGTCTCATTGGCACTCATACCACATCTTCTTATATCTATATAAACCATATGTTCAGTGTTCGTTGACCCTGCACCAGAGGGTTGGCACCTGAAAACATATTTGACGACGCCACATTTTATGTGTGCCTGTTTCAAATCAGGAGCCTGTAGTTCAGTGGTTGTCATTGGATCATTTCTATCATATTTGTTTTTTCGTAAATTGTTTTGTTTAATATCATGTATATTAGGCCGTTAATTTTCTCGTTTGATTTTTTTCTAATTTTTCATGTCCGGGCCTTATATAGCTGACTATAAGATATGGGTTTTCTCATTGTTGAAGGCCCTATGTTTGCCTATAATTGCTTACATCCACCTCATATGAACTTTGGTGGATAGTTGTCTCCTTGGCAATCATACCACATCTCCTTATTTTTAGTCCCCTACCGACAAAGTCGAAGGGGAGTTTAGGTTTGCACTCTGTCCGTCTGTCATGCTTGAAGATATTGACATGATATTTACTTTTTGTTTACACCATGACAAGTTATAGAACAAGTTAGCATTTTGTTCCAGTAAAACGAATTTTTACCCGGTAGAATGGTCAGAATGCTTGTTATAAGATGATTTCTGATTATTTTTAGTATTAATTTTTATTAGTCCCCTACCGTCCACTCTGTCCGTCTGTCTGTCTGTCCATCCATCAGTCCGGCAAATCAGTTTTCCAGACTTTTTTTCTTCATGCTTAACGATATTGATTTGATATTTGGTGTATTGTTTTATCATGACAAGTTACAAGTCAAGTTCAATTTTCACGATTTTAGCTTTTCTCCTTGTTCAGTTAAAGCTCTTTCCCTAGAATTAAATTTTTGATGGAATACTTATAATTACTAGATTTCTGTTCAAAGGGAAATAACTCATTTTTTAATAGATTTTTAAAAGACATTGTATAAATGGTAAATGACATTTTGGATTTTTTCCCTTTTCTTTAGTAAATTGTTTGAAGAATTTAGTGGTAGGTTTGTTTGTTATTTAATGTAGTTTACATCATAACAAGTTATAGATCAAGTTAGAATTTCGTTCCATTACAATTAATTTTTAACCAGTAGGGGACTATGTATTGCCATGCAACACTCACAGAATGCTTGTTGTTTTCAGGAGGACTAGACGATGCTTTGAACAACATCTTGACTTTATGTAATGAACAGAATGTGCCGTTTGTATTTGCCTTAGGAAGAAGAGCTCTTGGTCGTGCCTGTGCTAAAATGGTTCCTGTTAGTGTTGTAGGAATATTCAACTATAGTGGCTCAGAGGTAAATAATAACTTGGGTTCTAAGAAGATAATTTACTACAAAGCTCTATCAATTTTGTGGTTCTGATGGGAATAAGAGATTGGTTTTAAATCTTGAGAAATTTAGCTAATAGCCTGGCTCAATTAAGATTTTGTTATTTTTTTTTTCATTAAAATATAATTATGAATATAAAAAGAATATGTTGAGTATATTCCAATGAAATAGCAACCCCCCAAAATTAGTCATCTAAAGGTTCACTACTGTGAAAGTACTTTTATTCGTGTAGGTTTGACGACATGAATACACCATTTGATCTAGAGAATACATCGATTATCAGCAAACACACTATGAAATATATATATATACAATTTCAGACATGATTTTACCCATATAATCATTAAAAATCATAAACTGTTCGACCATTAACCTTTTAATTCTGATGAAAAATTATTTTTGATCAAAGAAAATTCCGACTTCCGATAATGATATCATTGATATGTGATAGTGAAGTATTCTTTTTATCTATCAAAATTTTCATACGAAACAAAATAATAATAATATCTTACATTGTCTTATAGGGCTTACTTTTTTATTTCATAAATATTAATTGAATTATTCTACAATTCAAAGTACATTTGTAACATTTTTTATGTATCTGTTTTCTTTAAGTGACATGTTTATGGCCAATGCAGTTAACGCCTTTGATGATCGTTATACTGTTGATCATTCAATCTTGGGTTAATTAGTGTCATAACTTCTGATTACAAGTGTGCAACAATAAAATGTTTACTTTGTAATTTCCTTCATTCAAGATGATTTGTAAACATGTAATTTTTTTTTAAGAATCATCGTTTCTGATGGCTTCAAATTCTTCTCTCATTTTTGTCTCACCTTGACGGAGTCAAAAAGCGAGACATAGGTATGCTGTTTCCGGTGTCGGCGGCGTCAACAATGTATTAGCTTGTGATTAGGTCTAGTTTATAGTGAACCACAAGTGGTAGGTCAATCATATTTGGTATTGGTATGCATTTGTATTAGCTTTGGCACATCTCATTTCCATGGAGATAATTTGGCCCTGCCGGCCCTCAGTCATGGTCTATTCATTTTGAAACTTGTTTAGTTTACATTTTTTAGTTTGTGATTAGGTCAGTTTATGGGGAACCACTAGTGGTAGGTCAATGATATTTGGTATGCAGTTGTATAAGCATTAGCACATCTCATTTTCATGGCGAATATTTGGCCCTGCCCCCTCAGTCATGGTCTATTGACTTTGAAACTTTTGCTTAGTATACATGTATTAGTTTCTGATTAGATCAGTTTAAGATGAACTGCTAATGTTAAGTCAATGATATTTGGTATGCAAATTTATTGGCATATTAAAGTATCGTTTCTATGGAGATTATATAGCCTCACCCCCTCATCATGGTTCATTGACTGAAACTTTTACATAGTTTACAAGTTAATGTTTGTGTTTAGGTTTGTTTAAAGGGAACGACTTACGCAAGTCAATGGTATTTGGTATGCAGTTGTATTGGCATTGGCATATATCATTTCCATGGAGATTGTGTAACCATGTACCTTCAGTCATGGTTCATCGACTTTGAATATTTGCATAACTTACAAAATTGTTAAAGTATTGCTATTTTAATTTCAACATTTGCATTATCAAAATTACAAAAAGGCGAGACATATCTCTGTGATAACAGTTTATTTTCTTCTGAAAACTAAAAATCAACGAATTTAAGAACCCACAAACATGTAACTTTTGCTCAAACCACGAAAATTGGTACCCATGAATAAAAGTACTTTCAAGTAATAGTTTTCATAAAAAAAAATGTCTATACAAAATGATCCTGGGTCAAGAAATATGTCAATAAATGTTGATATACATAAGACTTTAATATAGATGAATTTCATTTTCTACTATATCCAATTGTTTAACATGATTTTACAGATATCTTTGACCATAGATGTATATACATGTACTTCTATACTTTGACCAACTGTGTTATAATGTTTGTCAATGTAAAAAGCCTTTTAGGAAAAGTATTATCATCGAGGATAAAGGCTGATCTTAATTATGTTTACTTAGAGGCAAAGAGCTTGAATTTTTTTTAATGTTAATTGGTAGTCCATGATTAATGAGTGAGCTCATGTTAAGGTCAGACAACATACTTAATTTTCTTGTCCTTGTGATTTTAACTTTTAAACAACATAATTGAATTGACATTTACAGTACATGTACTGTTTATTAAATAAGTTAATTTTAAGGTTTCTAAACATTATCATTTCCTGAATATTCATGAAACATTTGCCAGTAGAAAACACCACAAAATCAATCCTCATTCATACCAGTAGATCATGATTATACAAACATTTATATAGTACAATGTATATATAGTAATAGACCATTGCTAAAAGAGAGATAACTCAAAGGCTGAAAATAGAAGAAAAATACAAAACAATTTCACCTGGATTATTATAATATTTGTTGTCTTTCTACCTGTTGTGTCATATATAAATAAATATATAAAAAAAAAATTTTGTTCAAAAATGAATTTTTATGCCCCCGCCGTAGGCAAAGGGGCATTAATGATTACCCTTGACTGTCCGTCTTCCATCTTACTGTCCGTCCCATTTTCACTGCAAAGCTTGAGCAAGGGCATTCGTGTCGTCAGACCCATTTTTCTATTATTTGTTTCTATAGGTAGTCTGTTAGACTTATACGACACTAGATTGACCTAGACTGATCTTAATTTTGCTTTTTCAGCGTATGAAATTTCACTATATGTGCAATTTTTTCTAATGTTTACACCTGGAATTGAGTGAATTTCACATGAATTTCACCTCAAACAAGCTGATATGTGAAACTCACATGAATTCTCAAAATAAAGTTATTCAAATAACATCTAAATTTTCAAGTTTAATTAAAATCTTGAAAAATACCAATTATTTTTTGCAAAGTTCGCATGAAATTCATGTGAGATTCATGTGAATCTCATTTTGCTTGAAAATTTTTATGTGAGCTTCACATATAAGCTCATTTGATGTGAATTGCAGGTTAATTTATACATGAGATTTATGTGTGCAAAATTTGCCTGTATATGCAATGTCCAGATTGATGTTTACCCGGTAATCAGTCAATACAAGGAAACTAGGATAAATATATTTATGCTCAAAACATGGATTTTTGAAAACATTGGACTTTGATCCAGTCTTAAATCAATGTCTGTTCCTTTAACTGTAGCTATAGTCCAGTTGCCACCATTTCTGATTGAAGTCATTTTTGTCTTTCTCTTTTTGGTTCTCTAGCATGAGTAATCAGTATCCTTTAATTGCACTTATTCCAGTTATGTCACAATAGCAAAACATGAGAAAAAAAAAAACAGTTAAAGATACAAGCAACAAGTAATAATTTCAGCTCAACTGATACCAGTTGAATCACACTAGTAATGATATCTATTTTTGGTTTTCTTTACTTTTGGGAATTAATAATGTAAACAAGAAGTTTTATCAAAATATTGATATAAAATTAGATTTTTCTCTGGAAAGTTTGATAAATCTCATGTTCTATAAAAGAAAAGGAGTTGTTTTGCTAAATATAATACATTTAGAAATACAAACCGATTAGATTTACTTTAATAATTAAATTTATAAAAAAACACCTTTATTGTGTTCCTGGCTCTACTCCTTTACCAATTATACTGTTTTGATAGATTATTACTTTTTTATGCCCCCGCCGTAGCCGAGGGGGCATTAAGTTTTACCCTTGTCCATCTGTACGTACGTCCGTATGTCCATCCGTCCGTACCAAAGTTGGTTTCCGTTCTCTAACTTTAGTTTGCCTCAACCAAATGTTATGAAACTTATTCAAAATGCTTATTACCACAAAACACAGATCAACTTTGAATATTGGTGGCATCACTTTAACCGCTCTAGAGTTATGCCCCTTCACAAATGGGAAAATTGCTGAATTTTTCGTTTCCGTTCTCTTACTTTAGTTTGCCTCAACCAAATGTTATGAAACTTATACACAATGCTTATTACCCCAAAATACAGATCAAGTTTGAATTTTGGTTGTGTCACTTTTACTGTTCTAGAGTTATGCCCCTTTACGAAGGAAAAAATTGCTGAATTTTTCATTTCCGTTCTCTAACTTAAGTTCACCTCAACCAAATGTTATGAAACTTATACACAATACTTATTACATAAAACTCAGATCAAGTACAAATTTGGGCAGAGTCACTTTTACCATTCTTCAGTTATGTCCCTTTATAACTTTATATGATATGCAAGCAGGGGCATTATCTGTCCCATGGACACATTCCCCATTTATTAGTCCCCTACCGACGAAGTCTGTCTGTCCGTCTGTCCATATCCGTCAGTCCGGCAAATCAGTTTTCCACACTTTTTTTCTTCATGCTTGAAGATATTGATTTGATATTTGGTGTATTGTTTTATCATGACAGGTTACAGATCAAGTTCGAATTTTGTTCCCGTCTGATGATTTTGTGCAGAGTTATGGTCCTTGGAAAATTCACTTAAATAATCAGATTTCCACACTTTTTTCGTCAGGCTTGAAAATATTGACTTGATATTTGGTATATAGTTTACACCATGACAAGTTATAGATCAAGTTATAATTTTGTTCCAGTACAATGAATTTTTAACCGGTAGGGGACTATGTATTGCCATGCAATACTCTCAGAATGCTTGTTTTAAATTATGTTTGTAATTAGAAAGTGATGATAAAGAAATAGTAGGTAGTTTAAGATAAACTTTTTTATATTTCCAGGAGAACTTTAAACAGCTTATAGATCTGACGGCCAAAGCAAGGGAATCTTACGGGGAAATGGTGGCTGCCATTGAGATAGAAATCAAAGAATATCCAATGAAGAAACAGCAACCTACCATACCACATGTGTTTGCCCACATGGGCCACTCACGCACACCCTCGGGAGCAAGTGTACTTTCTTTTACAAGTAGTATCTTATCTGAACCTATCTCAGAGAACTACCCTCACTCTGAACCAGAGACTGATAGCAAAGGCTATGAAATAGTTAAAGATGATGCATTAATCAAACAAGGATTACCGACTGATTCCTCAGGGTACCAGACACAGATGAGGATTATTCATTCTAATACGAAAAATAACGACGATGATGGGAATGAGGCTGACAATGAGGAAGAAGGCGACAGAATCAACAAAAACAGTCTGCGTAAAAGTGAGGAGAATCTGTCTCTGGACGCTAGTGCTTTACCACACATTGATTCTATACACAGCGGTCCACATGATCTCAACACTGAAATCCTCTCACAACATTCGGGACGCACGTTGGAAAATTGTGAGGCAATGTCTACTCATTCCTCCAGAACGTTAGGTGACGGTAGCTCAACCATTCTGGCAGATTTTGGCGACCGGTCGAAACATGGCACACCAAAAAGTACCGAAAGTCCGAGTAATACGTTACAACGAGGGAAAGTTGTTGATGAAGAAAGAATACAGCATTGGGTTGATGAAACAAGTTCTAGGTTAGAGAATTTAGCCTTGGAAGAAGAGAGTTACGAGGATAGTACAGATGAAATGACGGAAAGTGACGAGTCGGACGAAAAATACAATTTTGAAATGCATAATGAAGATAATAAAAAAAAAATCATTGATTATTCTGCTGGTGATACAGAAAATAAAAATAACGAACTGCCCGAAAATTCTAAAAAGTTGTGTGATAGTAAAACTGATATGGAAAAAGTTAGTGAAAAGCTTCAGAAAATTGCTTCAGATAGTTGTGATGGCGAACAAATAAATAGTAATGCCATACCAAGCAGTTGTGATATTGTAAATAGCTCTGATAATTCAATGGTGGAGATAGAAACTGATTCTAAAAACTGTTCAGAAAAATCCGATATAGAGGATTCTAATCCCCTTTCTGAAAATTCTAATATGGCTGACTGTAAAATCAATACAGAAAAAGCCAGCACAGATATTAGTACTGGTGATGCAATAAAGTCCTCTGATCAACTAAATGTTATTTCAGATACAACTAAAGACCTTACTAGAGACACAAACTTAGATAAGAACACAACTTCACCTAAAAATGTTGAAATCCACTTTGATTAAATAGAATTCTGCATGTTGTATGTATGTTTTAGTTATAATTAACCACAATGACTACCATGACTACAGAACGTAAGTTGGAGAACAGGATTTATTTATAAATTGGCTTTAAACAAGCTATCAGTAACTGTGAGTGGTCTTATCTGTTAAATTTGAACTTTGTTTCTTTTGTCTTTATGTAAGTTGTTTGTTTGTGCTTTGTACCAATTAGCAACTGATTTTTGTCTCGCCTGCGAAGAAAGTAGCAGTATGCGAGACATAGATATTACTATCCGGCAACAGTGGAGTAAACTATTTGTATAAAGCTTTATATTTCAGAATAGAAGACCTGGATCATGTTGATGCTTCATATCTTGTATGCAGATACCTTATGTTACGAAGTTTCCATCAATCATATGTCCATTGTCCTTGACCTCATTTTCATGGTTCAGTGACTGCTTTTTGTCATGTGAATTTCTCACAGATATGAGTAATAGGATAACTATATCTGGTATATGGGTTCCTTGCAACATCTACATGTCCGTCAGACAGAGTTCACCTGACCTCGACCTCATTTAATGGATCAGTGATCAAGGTTAACAGTCAGGGATATAACTCTATAGGGTTATTACAGATACTTTCATAAGTTGTCTACTTTTTATTCCTTAAATTTTATAAATCTGTAATAACATATGTTTGTTATTTGTAAAATAAATCAAAAATATTTTAATCTATAGTGGGCTCTAGGGAACTCTTGAGACTTTGCACAGAAACTAAATGCATGGCCTTGATAACTAATTTTTTAATTAAATTAATGCATTTTTGATTAACCATGGTAATTCAATGAGACAAGGCTTTTAAGGGATAAACTTAGCTGTAATAACAAGGCTTAGTTATTAAAGGAATGTAACTTATTACATGAGACACTTGGGAATTACTGGGAAGCTTGCGCAGAACCTCATTACATGCTCTGGTCATTATTTCTTACAATAAACTAAAATACATTGTAATTAAGCATTGGGTTGATGAAACAAGTTCTAGGTTAGAAAATTTAGCCTTGGAAGAAGAGAGTTATGAGGATAGTACAGATGAAATGACGGAAAGTGACGAGTCAGACGAAAAATACAATTTTGAAATGCATAATGAAGATAATAAAAAAAAAATCATTCATTATTCTGCTGGTGATACAGAAAATAAAAATAATGAACTTCCCGAAAATTCTAAAAAGTTGTGTGATAGTAAAACTGATATGGAAAAAGTTAGTGAAAAGCTTCAGAAAATTGCTTCAGATAGTTGTGATGGCGAACAAATAAATAGTAATGCCATACCAAGCAGTTGTGATATTGTAAATAGCTCTGATAATTCAATGGTGGAGATAGAAACTGATTCTAAAAACTGTTCAGAAAAATCCGATATAGAGGATTCTAATCCCCTTTCTGAAAATTCTAATATGGCTGACTGTAAAATCAATACAGAAAAAGCCAGCACAGATATTAGTACTGGTGATGCAATAAAGTCCTCTGATCAACTAAATGTTATTTCAGATACAACTAAAGACCTTACTAGAGACACAAACTTAGATAAGAACACAACTTCACCTAAAAATGTTGAAATCCACTTTGATTAAATAGAATTCTGCATGTTGTATGTATGTTTTAGTTATAATTAACCACAATGACTACCATGACTACAGAACGTAAGTTGGAGAACAGGATTTATTTATAAATTGGCTTTAAACAAGCTATCAGTAACTGTGAGTGGTCTTATCTGTTAAATTTGAACTTTGTTTCTTTTGTCTTTATGTAAGTTGTTTGTTTGTGCTTTGTTCCAATTAGCAACTAATTTTTGTCTCGCCTGCGAAGAAAGTAGCAGTATGCGAGACATAGATATTACTATCCGGCAACAGCAGAGTAAACGATTTGTATAAAGCTTTATATTTCAGAATAGAAGAGCTGGATGCTTCATATCTTGTATGCAGATACCTTATGTTACAAAGTTTCCGTCAATCATATGTCCATTGTCCTTGACCTCATTTTCATGGTTCAGTGACTGCTTATTGTCATGTGAATTTCTCACAGATATGAGTAATAGGATAACTATATTTGGTATATGAGTTCCTTGCAACGTCTACATGTCCGTCAGACAGAGTTCACCTGACCTCAACCTCATTTAATGGATCAGTGATCAAGGTTAACATGGTTAAAGTTACACGATTAGGTCCGTTTCTCAAATACTATAAGCAGTAGGTCAACTATATTTGGTGTATGGAATGATTGTAATGGGTACATATTAGTCTGGCAGGTTTCATCCGACCTTGACCTCATTTTCATGGTTCATTGGTCGATGTTAAGTTTTTGTGTTTTTGGTCTGTTTTTCAAGTACTACAAGCAATAGGTCAACTATATTTGGTGTATGGAAAGATTGTAAGGTGTACATGTTTGTCTGGCAGGTATCATCTGACCTTGACCTCATTTTCATGGTTCATTGGTCAATGTTAAGTTTTTGTGTTTTGGTCTGTTTTTCGAATACTAATAGCAATAAGTCATTTCTATATGGTGTATGGAATAATTGTAAAGTGCACATGTCTGTCTGGCAGGTATCATCTGACCTTGACCTCATATTTATGGTTCATTGGTCAATATTAAGTGTTTGTGTTTTGGTCTGTTTTTCAATTTGCATACGCAATAGGTGGTGTATAAAAAATTGTAAGGTGTATATGTCTGTCTGACACAATTTTTCTGACCTTGACCTCATTGTCATAGATTTTTAAAAATTTTAAGTTTCTGTAATGCTTTTAGTAAAACCTTTATCTTTAAGACTTTCAACATAAAATCAATGGTCAGTAAAGCAGGTGAGACATTTCAGCGTGTGCACTCTTGTTACAGTTTGTTCTTTTATTGTGCTGTAGCACCACTTTCCCAGGTTAAGGGACATGTTGAGTTGTCACAAACATGTGGAGTTTAACCACATTCTTTGTCATTTGTTTCTGTCCGTCATATTTGATTTTTATGCGCCCTGCCTATGGCGGTTGCATTAAGTGTTACCCTTTACCATCCGTCTTTCCATCTTTCCACCTGTTGTCCATCCCATTTTTGTTGCAAAGCTTGAGATGGGGCATTCGTGTCCTCAGAGATATTCTTGAGCGGGGGCATTCGTGTCCTCAGAGATATTCTTGTGCGGGGGCATTGGTGTCCTCAGAGATATTCTTGAGCGGGGGCATTGGTGTCCTCAGAGATATTCTTGAGAGGGGGCATTGGTGTCCTCAGAGATATTCTTGAGCAGGGGCATTCGTGTCCTCAGAGATATTCTTGAGCTGGGGCATTCGTGTCCTCAGAGATATTCTTTAGCGGGGGCATTCGTGTCCTCAGAGATATTCTTGAGCGGGGGCATTCGTGTCCAGAGATATTCTTGAGCAGGGGCATTCGTGTCCTCAGAGATATTCTTGAGCGGGGGCATTAGTGTCCTCAGAGATATTCTTGAGCGGCGGAATCGTGTTTAGAGATATTCTTGAGCAGGGGCATTCGTCTTCTCAGAGATATTCTTGAGCGGGGGTATTGGTGTCCTCAGAGATATTCTTGAGCGGGGGCATTCGTGTTCAGAGATATTCTTGAGCAGGGGCATTCGTGTCCTCAGAGATATTCTTGAGCGGGGCCATTTGGTCAAGAATTTGAATACAGATTATTTCCATATACACGTACAACTGCATCAGTGGTGTTGTGCTTGTCTCGCGTAGTACAGGAGGACGTCAGGTCGATCTTCAATCAGTTCAAACAAACGACTTTGGTATTTGGTACTTGTATGCCAATCCAAGCAAACGACATTTGGAAGCAAGAGCTAAGACTGGTCACTCGAAGTGGGAATAATATGCCCGTTATTAGCAGCACGTTCACAATGACTATTTATAAAACGTAATTGCGTTTTTTTCACATTTCAGTACGCGTATAAATTTCAATTTATTCACGTGTCATTGTCCCAGTGTGTTGTAACAGAATTATTTTCTATTTGCTTATGCTATTAAACCAATTAAAATGTTGACCGATGATCGATTATTTGTTTAGCTGGAAAGAACAGAACACCGATAAAGTGTTATTTTGTTTTTAAGAGTTTGATTTTAATGAACATGCAATAAAAATCTAAATCAATGCTTTTAGAGTACACTCCCAGCCATTCATTGACATTTCAGTGTGTGCACTCTTTTTTATTTGCTTAACATCTAGTTACAATTGTATAGTAAATATTCACTGTAAGCCCATTCTGACGGCATTTGCCATCAGTTTTCATTGAGTTTAACCACCTTAATAAAGTATTCAATAAAGAACCAACTATAATCGATTGTACAATTTTACTAGGGATATTTTTACTTTCATCCTTCAGTGTAGATTAATAAAAACCAACATGCTTGGATACATTAAAGTTTTTTTTTCATTCAACTGAAATCTTTTCAGTGTTTGACCGTTCCGGAGAGTATATTGCGGTCTGGACATTTTGCTTTACGACGAGAGACTGTTCGTCAAATTATGTTTACCCAAGGGTGACTGGGGTATAGAAATGTATTCACTTTTTGGTCTTTTTCCGACCGACAGTAAAATCCTTGATAAAGTAGGGCGTCCGTTTAGTTGTGCGGGATCTATAAATACGCAGCCACGTCCTGTAAGAATTGGGGCGTTATTTAAATTCAACCTCATGTAGAGAGTGCCACACAGTCTGTACGTTAAGAACCCTTGCAGCGACTCTTTAATTGGTCCGTAAGGGGTGGACTATTGCAAGGCAAAATGTCTGTATCTATCCAAGATATCCTCGTTTTTGTGCAAACTTCCCGCCCTTTATCCCGGTTAATTCCCAATTACAGGACCTACCTATTGCATTAATTGTTAATTTGTTCTCATTCTGAATAAGATGTGGTATGATAACCAATTAACAGCTCTCCACCAGAGATCAAATGACGTAGAAGTTACTAACTGCAGGTCATCGTACGGCCTGCAACAATGGGCAGAAACCCGTACCGCATAGTAAAAGGCTCCAAAATGATTGATTGATTGGTATTCAATGCCACTTTCAGCACTATTGTGCTATTTCGTGGTGGTCAGTTTTTATTGGTGAATGAAGCCGGAGTGCCCGGAGAGAACCATCGAGCTTCGGTAGGAAAACTGGCAATCCTAATTGATTAAGATTGGAGTCGAAGATTCGAACTCACAACCTTAGTGTTGACAGGCTAGTTGTAGAGTAGTTCGACTACTCAGACCACTCGACCACCGAGGCCCCTGTCTCGAAATGACAAATGTACAACAATACAAACGAGAAAACGGACAGTGGTGTAACAGTACAGGCTAGCTGTAGAGTAGTTCGACTACTCAGACCACTCGACCACCGAGGCCCCTGTCTCGAAATGACAAATGTACAACAATACAAACGAGAAAACGGACAGTGGTGTAACAGTACAGGCTAGTTGTAGAGTAGTTCGACTACTCAGACCACTCGACCACCGAGGCCCCTCTCTCGAAATGACAAATGTACAACAATACAAACGAGAAAACGGACAGTGGTGTAACAGTACAGGCTAGTTGTAGAGTAGTTCGACTACTCAGACCACTCGACCACCGAGGCCCCTCTCTCGAAATGACAAATGTACAACAATACAAACGAGAAAACGGACAGTGGTGTAACAGTACAGGCTAGTTGTAGAGTAGTTCGACTACTCAGACCACTCGACCACCGAGGCCCCTCTCTCGAAATGACAAATGTACAACAATACAAACGAGAAAACGGACAGTGGTGTAACAGTACAGGCTAGTTGTAGAGTAGTTCGACTACTTAGACCACTCGACCACCGAGGCCCCTGTCTCGAAATGACAAATGTACAACAATACAAACGAGAAAACGGACAGTGGTGTAACAGTACAGGCTAGTTGTAGAGTAGTTCGACTACTTAGACCACTCGACCACCGAGGCCCCTGTCTCGAAATGACAAATGTACAACAATACAAACGAGAAAACGGACAGTGGTGTAACAGTACAGGCTAGTTGTAGAGTAGTTCGACTACTCAGACCACTCGACCACCGAGGCCCCTGTCTCGAAATGACAAATGTACAATACAAACGAGAAAACGGACAGTGGTGTAACAGTACAGGCTAGTTGTAGAGTAGTTCGACTACTCAGACCACTCGACCACCGAGGCCCCTGTCTCGAAATGACAAATGTACAACAATACAAACGAGAAAACGGACAGTGGTGTAACAGTACAGGCTAGTTGTAGAGTAGTTCGACTACTCAGACCACTCGACCACCGAGGCCCCTGTCTCGAAATGACAAATGTACAACAATACAAACGAGAAAACGGACAGTGGTGTAACAGTACAGGCTAGTTGTAGAGTAATTCGACTACTCAGACCACTCGACCACCGAGGCCCCTGTCTCGAAATGACAAATGTACAACAATACAAACAAGAAAACGGACAGTGGTGTAACAGTACAGGCTAGTTGTAGAGTAGTTCGACTACTCAGACCACTCGACCACCGATGCCCCTGTCTCGAAATGACAAATGTACAACAATACAAACGAGAAAACGGACAGTGGTGTAACAGTACAACAAGAAAACGGACAGTGGTGTAACAGTACAACAAGAAAACGGACAGTGGTGTAACAGTACAACAAGAAAACGAACAGTGGTGTAACAGTACAACAAGAAAACGGACAGTGGTGTAACAGTACAACAAGAAAACGGACAGTGGTGTAACAGTACAGCGAGAAAACGGACAGTGGTGTAACAGTACAACAAGAAAACGAACAGTGGTGTAACAGTACAACAAGAAAACGGACAGTGGTGTAACAGTACAACAAGAAAACGGACAGTGGTGTAACAGTACAGCGAGAAAACGAACAGTGGTGTAACAGTACAACAAGAAAACGGACAGTGGTGTAACAGTACAGCGAGAAAACGGACAGTGGTGTAACAGTACAACAAGAAAACGAACAGTGGCGTAACAGTACAACAAGAAAACGGACAGTGGTGTAACAGTACAACAAGAAAACGAACAGTGGTGTAACAGTACAACGAGAAAACGGACAGTGGTGTAACAGTACAACGAGAAAACAGACAGTGGTGTAACAGTACAACAAGAAAACGGACAGTGGTGTAACAGTACAACAAGAAAACGGACAGTAGTGTAACAGTACAACGAGAAAACAAACTATAAAAATCAGTTGAAAAGGGCTTAACTCATCAGATCGATACCATGGATAACAACCGATGTTCGATGGTTCTCTCTGGGCACTCCGGACATTGTTAAATGCCAGAGAAAAAACACGTGTGTCTACGTGTGTTATAGTGTGTCTTTCTATGTTGTGATGTTACACTATTGTTTCAGAAAAAGGGTGAAGGTTTGGTACCATTAAAACGTTTAAACCCGCTGCATTTGTTTGCACCTGTCCTAAGTCAGGAATCTGATGTTCAGTAGTTGTCGTTTGTTGATGTGGTTCATTAGTGTTTCTCGTTTCTCGTTTTTTATATAGATTAGACCGTTGGTTTTCCCGTTTGAATGGTTTTACACTAGTAATTTTTTGGGGGCCCTTTATAGCTTACTGTTCGTTGTGAGCCAAGGCTCCGTGTTGAAGACCGTACTGTGACCTATAATGGTTTACTTTTATAAATTTTGACTTGGATGGAGAGTTGTCTCATTGGCACTCATACCACATCTTCTTATATCTACGACCTTGTGCAATGCCAAAATAAAAGTATCGATAGATTGTATGACCGGGTATGTGCATTATGTGTATAACAATAATATTTAGTTTGGTTTTAATTTTTGATATGCATGCAATATTTGCAACTGCAACAGATTTGTAATTTTCTTAAGGACTGACCAGTTAACATTAGTAGAACATAAGGAAAACTATAGGCAATATTATTTTTAATAAAGAAAAGGCATCCGTACCAAATATACAATATCTTCGGAAGTCCGACGAAATGGTCGTAATATATTACATTTTGTAAATATTAACTTATACCAGAAATATTTATTGATTGAATTTTGTTTTCTGTCCAGTGGTTAAAAGTTCACGCTTACTCAAATGATGATAACAATTTGACACAATTAACTAAGAAGGGTTTGTAAAGAGGATCGATAGGGATGTGGAGTGCAGGAAATTTCAACTGCCACTTGGGAAAGAGGGCGTGTTCGAAAGAAGCAGATATTTTGCTTTTACGCCTACACACGAGAGCTGTTTGTCTGGTCAATATCCAGTCAAGAACGAGATAGAGAATAAGGAATGGTGAAATCTGTATCACAATCCGTTTTGTTCACTTTTTTGGTGTATTTTTAAAAACATGATAATTCAAGAGGTGTTCCCAATGGGTGTGTGTATTTTACTGTTATCTAATGGTTCTGACCGACTGAGTAGATCTAAAGCTTTGTTTTACTGTTACCTAACGTTCTTGAACGACTGAGTATATCAGCTTTGTTTTACTGTTATCTAATGGTTCTGAACGACTGAGTAGATCTAAAGCTTTGTTTTACTGTTATCTAATGGTCTTGGACGACTGAGTATATTTAAAGCTTTGTTTTACTGTTATCTAATGGTCTTGGACGACTGAGTATATTTAAAGCTTTGTTTTACTGTTATCTAATGGTCTTGAACGACTGAGTATATTTAAAGCTTTGTTTTACTGTTATCTAATTGTCTTGGACGACTGAGTATATTTAAAGCTTTGTTTTACTGTTATCTAATGGTCTTGGACGACTGAGTATATTTAAAGCTTTGTTTTACTGTTATCTAATGGTCTTGAACGACTGAGTATATTTACTGTTTAAAGAATAACAACAAAACAGATAATCATTTGCTTAATGTATTTTTCAGTAATTAGGTCCATCCATTTATGCTTTTCGGATCATCATGGTTGTTGTCTTTAATGAGTAGTTGTAACCCTTCCATTGTTTCCAGTTTACACCATCAGCAAACGTTGTGTGGCTTCCTTTATGATAGAGGCCATTTAAGTTGCTCTCGTGGCATGCACCATACCACCACCCACCCTTATACTTCTCAGCACAGTTTTCGCCAGATGTGTCAAGGTCTTTATCCATCGTTGAAAATCTGTTCCCATTTTGGTACCTCTTCATAGAATCACCTGCATGGTATACACGAATTATTGTATAAAAAAAACCCTAACCACATCTATTTATTATGTTCGTTCTAAACATCCATGACATATTTGTCGCTGGACGTTAAGCAACCAATACTCAATTAATGAATCAATGATAAAGAATTAGATTCGAAATGGTACCAACACAGTTACCAACACCTTATTAATTCTGTGCGTCCTACGCGCATTTCTGGATTTACCTTCATCAAGAACGATCAACATTTGAAAGTCAATATAAAAATAAGCAGATGTGGTATGATTGCCAATGAGACAACTCTCAACAAGAGACCAAATGACACATGTACAGAAATTAACAACTATAGGTCACCGTACGGCCTTCAACAATAAGCAAAGTATGTATAAGACCTGAACTCGTGAAGAGTTATATAATTAACAGGGACCTCTTTGGCATCATGAGTTCTTTTTATATTATCTCCCAAGTCTTAGAACAAAATTCGAAACCGTCTATGTTACAAAAATAAACCGAAGATTACAAATACTTAATTACTTTGTATAGATTTTCTGAAGATTACTAGCAGCAAGCAATTATATGTTATGTTCGAAAACAAAGTCATCCATTTATGTACATGCTTCGAGCATTTATGTACCAAATGGTCAATATTAATTATCTGACAGTGTGTAATTGTGTCTATGGGATGTTTGAAAAAATTCAACGGAGGAAATTTCTTGGCATGGGAGAATTCACAATTTGTCTAACCTATTATTTTTTATATTGAATAAAAAAATAATAAACCTTTCAAATATATATTTCATAAGATAAAAATATTCCCTGTGGAACCCCTCCTTTTGCTCCCTCCATTTTCACCCCTTGAATTAGGCTTTCCAATCTAATTAAAATTGAAACATTGCTTCTTAACCGATCTATTCATGTACAGGACCGGCAACTCTCTTTATCAAATAGAAAATATACAATGCCGTTATACACACGCATGTTGTCTGCTTGGAGTCCCCGCCTGAAAAGAAGTCCAAGATAATATATTCTTGCATCACGTGAACTTTACCACGTGGGGCTTACATTAGAATAAATACCGAATATAGAAAGTGAAACTACAATTAAAAACGTAGTATGCAGGACCAATTTTCTTCTAATAAAATGTAAAGTCCGAAGGCACCTAGAAGAAAAAAAAGATTTTTTTTGCAAAGGGCAGTGGCGGATCCAGGGGGGGGTGTTGTGTTCCGGGGGTTGAAACCCCCTTTTTCTGACAATCAATGCTTTTGAATGGAGACATATGATTGGAACGCCAACCCCCTTTATCCTGGGTTTTAACCCCCTTTTTAGAAATGGCCGGATCCGCCCCTAAAAGGGTGACGGGGGTACCCTTGAAATATTTGCCACTGCACCTTGTCTGTTCTATGAATTCTAACCCTGAGTTTTCTATGTTACATGCCAAGAAATCCTCGCTCAAAACTCCGGTGGACCTCCTACGGCACCCATTAGTATTTAAATGTTTGATTTCAACAAATTAATTTATGACCTGCATGTACGTGTCGCTTAGAACACGGCCATGTACCAAATGGTCCATATTAATCATCTGTGTAATTGTCTCTATAGGATGTTTGCAAAATTTCAACGGAGGAAATTTCTTGTCATGTTTGTTCTTAAGTTTGAATAAAGTGACAGTTATTCCATGTAAAAACTAAACCTTATCCTGGCTTGTGCTGAAAAAATTAACATAAATTTCATAGAATATATATAAGATCGCAATGGTTCCCGGAAGTTTGGTAATACAAAAATAGATACCTCTGATCTGAGCAACAGGCAACATATTCTTTCCTAATTTCACATTAATTATTTTGTGGTTACGACGAGGGGGAGGGGTTAGGTTTTTAACGATCTTGACTACCATCGAGGTTCTTGCACGGTCGGTTATTTAGTTAGAGAAAACTTTTATCAAGTATTTTATTTATTTACTGGGTTTCCGAACGTGTTAATGTTGTGATGTCGTTGTACAAATTGGAATTTAAAAAAAAATGGATGGGTCTATGAATACACATTCTACATCGATCTTCAAAGACCCAAATGTCGCTAGTAGCACATGTCCTTCATACATGACAAATATGTTGTTGTCCCCGCAGATAAAACCCTAAACGACATCGTTTATATGTAAATAACATTACATAAACTGCTTGATAAAGGAATAAGGTATTGACAATTCACTTGGAAACTGGGACTTGATCTTTCATCACTGTATTGGATACATAAAGTATATAAGTGACCTCACAAACAATGTTATATTGCTGGGTCTTACAATGGCTTCACGAAAATTTCTTTCTAATTTATTAACATCAGTTGTATCAGCAATTAAAGTCGGGTTTCAAAGTTATTGTGAAACTACCGACTCTATAAGGGCGGCGTGAATCAGATGTTGATACTTTAAAATTCGAAAGATCTGTTAGGGTACATATAATCTTAGTCTCTTTCCTCTTGCAATAGCATTAAAACATTCGACTTTCCTACCCTATACACAAGTATCCCCATTCCAAACTAAAAAACAAATTGAAAGAATTGGTCCTGCTTTGTTTCATAAAATAAATTGTGAACGTAAATACAAGTATCTTGTCTTAGAGAAGGATAAATCGTTTTTTATAAAAAAAAAATCACTCTGATTCAAACAAAAATTGTCTGAAACTGATATTATCAAGATGCTTGATTTCTTTATTGACAACATATTTGTTACGTTTGAAGGACGTGTTGATACGATATCCCAGGGATTTCCTATCATGATGTCCTTGGTAGAGGGTTGCTTCTTAAGAAAGCTATTTAACCATGAGTTCCAAGAGATGAAATTGAAATCATTCCTTCGAGAATTTTACGGACACTATCACGAGTTGGTTGACCGTTATTAAATATGACGACGTATATGTTGTTGTAATCAAAATCCCGTCCTCTTTTCCTCGAATGTGACCTACCGAATTAGATTCATCACCGGGTTTGTAATTGCATGATCAGCATGACATGTGCACCATGAAGCAGGATCTGATTAACCTTCCGGACCACCTGAGATCATCCCCGGTTTTTGGGTTGGGTTGGTGTTTTATATGTTCTTTCGGACCGTATTTTGTTTGTTTCAGCATTTGAATGTATTTTAAGAATCGAATGTTTCTATCTGGTATTTTTCAAGGTTGTTACAGCGTTGAACGTGCGCACATTATACCACCAAGTGCTTGCGATATAATAATGATAAAAGAGACTCCACTCACCTGTATCTCCAGAGTAGCCAGTGATGTCTAATTTATATCCTGAACTTTCACTTCCAACTGAGAATTTGCTATAAACAGCATGTCTCTTACTGTTTACAAAGTCTGACATGTCTACCCTAAGCATGTATTTTCCTTGTGAAGTCAGCTGATGCAAGTGTTCATTTCCTACAGAATAGAAAGAATCATTGTAAATCATCAATAAAATTTCGATCCGGAATAAAACAAGGGGGATTAATAATTACATTCAAATCAGACTGAAAAATAGAATTGGGTGACATTTTACGTGTTTTGCATGTTTTGTTGGTATGATTATATATGAACAGTTCTATTTTTGTGACCGGGGGGGCGGAGGGGGGGGGGTATCCCCTCTATATTGTCAGTTCTATTTTGTGACGTGGGTATCTGTCTCCCCTCTACATGATCAGTTCTATTTTTGTGATGGGAGTATCTGTCTCCCCTCTTTATGATGAGTTCTATTTTTGTGACGGAAGTAAACCGGTCTCCCCTCCCTATTATCAGTTCTATTTTTGTGACGGAAATATCAGTCTTTCCTCGTCTTCTTCTAAACTTACCACTGACGCCATATTATTTGAACTGATTGTGATAGACCCAAACTTATCAAGTCCTCTCCCACTCTGCTGACGAATCGATTAAAACGTATTATATCTTTCACGAAAAGCGTTTTTAAATACGATCGAAGAAATAAATTTTATCCTGCATTCGACTTTTTCATCATACAAATACAAGTGTACAGATATCATGAAGCAAATGATATATATATATACAACCTGCTGTTGTCTGTTCTATGGTCGGGTTGTTGTCTCTTTGACACATTCCCCATTTCCATTCTCAATTTTATATATTTAATTTTCAGTAATTTACTGATAAAATGAGTTTTTTGCAGTTAACTTTTACAAACAGTTTGGGATTACGTTTTTTGACATGATAAATTTGTAAACCTTCAAGGATTGTTATGATATTTGAATAGAAGCTGCTCTTCAAGATCAAGAAATAGCAAATAAAGAAAAAGTTATATTTTTTTAATTCTGTATTTTAATGAGAAATGGACTCTTTGCGGTCAGTGTTGCATTTTTACACTGACAACGGCAATCGCAGGCTAGACACAGGCCGGGATCTATGGAACCCTTGACGATTTTTTTTTATATGTTCCTACAATGTACGAATATTGTCCATATCATATTTTCATCTTTACAAAAAGCTTTAATTTTGGACTCGTTGCTGATAATTTAGAGTCTTAATATAAAAAAAAATACAATCGGTTCATATCAATTACTGACGGTAAAATGTTAACCTTAAGTCACGTTTTTTTTTTCTGATAAAAAAATAATGTTAAGGACATTATTGAACCAATGCGTGCATATATACTAAACTATGACCTCTGTGCACGTATTTTTACACTCTTGCGAATCCATAACGTATTATCGACTATATGTAAATATTGCATCATGCAATTGTTGGTCGAAAACCTTTGCTCCTAATTAACTTTCGGGATCCGGTGCCGAAGTTTACTGATCGTTACCTTTGATAAACAATCAACACAGAATAATTGAGCACGTGAAAAAAGTGAGTTGATCGAGCGATGTATATTTGTTTTAAAATATTTTCAATGGGTTCTCATTTGTTAATTAAAATTTATCATAACAGTTATTAATTGATTTGGTTTATTTTTTTTTCTTTCCGAATCGATTAATACTATCTTCATTCCACGTTTGTTTACCTTTTCTTTAATCACGGGGTTTTCCCTCACACTTCCACTGTGCAGCTGTCGAATTTTTATCAAAAGGTGTCACCGTTAGGGTCACTGCATACGGAATTAATGTCTGCGAATTAGAGTACGGGAAGACAATAATTCCATACCAGTACAATTCGGAAGATTTGAATAAAATAAAGGCTTTTCTTTTTAAAAGAACGTCTATGTACACGTATTTTGTAGGAGGACTTTAGCACTATTGGATATTTCGTGGCGATCGTGGAGGAATCCCGGAGAGAACCATCGACCTTCGGCAGGAAAACTAACAATCCTAGTCAATTAAGATTGGAGTCGATCGAACCTGCCAACGTGCGGGGTTCGAACCAACAACCTCACTGTTGACATGCTAGTGATACTGTAGTTGAACTATTTAGACCAATTCGCGACCGAGGCCCCTTTGTTAAATTTGAAGTATCATATGACTTTTAAAAAAAAACTAAGACAAAAGTTTGTAGAAAATTTTAAAACCCGAACGTGGGAAAACATGAACATTATTGATTAATAGTTGCATTGTTCATTACCTAACCAGTGTTCTCCTTTCATGTTACCAAATCCACGTTTATATGCTTCCCAGTCTCTATAGAAATTGATGTGGCCATTCATTCTGCGCTGGATCACTTAAAAATTAACATAAACACGCAGTCCTGTAGCAATTATATTTACTATCAGGTTTGTAAAGATACCCTAAGTGGCCCTTTAATTACTATAATTAACGTATTGTATTGTATTATGTTACAATTCCCTATTTCGACAAAATTTTGGTTAATAAAATTTCGACCATTTCTGCATTTTCCTAAATGCAGATGTAACAGCTTTTGTAGATACATATATTATCAAATAGTTTCGTCTTATTGGTACGTGTACTTATTTATAGTATCTTCTTCTTCTGTTCTAAACCCATAGATTATTTGTACTTTTTTCTCTTTTTGTTTGAATATTCCCATAATTCTTGCACTTGTTTTACCTTCAATCCTATCAATACTGTGTGTGGACATTTTTTCTATTATTATAAAAATAAGGAGATGTGGTATGATTGCCAATGAGACAACTATCCACCAAAGTTCAAATGAAGTGGATATAAGCAATTATAGGCAACCGTACGGCCTTCAACAACGAGAAAAACCCATACTGTATATAGTCAGCTATAAAAGGCCCCGTTATGAAAAATATGAAACAATTCAATTGAGAAAACTAACGGCCTGATTTATAACAAACTATTTTCGAAAAACAAATATATCAGAGATGAACCAACGACAACCACTGAACTACAGGCTCCTGACTTGGGACAGGCACATAAAGAATGTGGCGGGATTAATCATGTTTTCTGGTGCAAAATCTGATGTAACAGTACAACATAAGAACAAACTATAAAAATAAGTTGAAAAGGGCTTAACTTTACAGATCGATACAAAGCAGAGAAATAAAAACATATGTTTATTACGAAAGTTTTATGTTAATTCGGTTCACATATAACAATACAAACATAAGTTTCTTAGAGCTTTTCACCGAATATGAATAAAATATACATTACATAAAACATGTAAAAACAAAAAGCATGTAAATAAAGGATTTAAGCAGCATATATTAAAATGGATAGATACAGCACATTCATGTTGAATTACATGCAAAACAATGCTATTGTTTTTTTAGAACAATCAAACACTGAAACCGAATCACTACTACATTTAAGCACAAATAAAATCAAAGCACAATTAAAAATTAAACGAAACTAATCTTAAGCGTCGGTATATAATGATAGTCCGTCCGTCTGTTCCACTTTTGTATCTGCAACTGCTAATGGACTGCTTGACAGAATTATTTGAAACTTCCATAGATTCGTAATCACAAAATGTAATTTTGTACCTCCTATTCCAGTTCCCCATCTGAATCTTCTTTGGGGTTTACTTTAGGATGGCAAGGACTCAGTCACATTAGCATATTTGCTCACTATGGTACACATTGGGGGTACCCATTTTGTATCCGCAGCACCTTCTCAACCCCTTATTGTAATTTATTGAAGCTTTCTCACAATTGAACCATATAATGCTTTTGTGCACATCCTATTTTTTTCGTATCTCAATTATTTTTGGGGTTTCCCACACCCAGGCACGGACTTTGCAAGTAACTAGGGTATGAGAGCATTGCTGACAGTACCTAGTTTCTTTTAAGGACGCTGGATACAAACACTGACAAATCTTTGTATTACCATGTTCCACTGTTTACAATTTACTTACCGTCCAACCGCCACCATTCTTCTCCATTTCACAGAAAACGTTGAAACCGGAAGTCCTGTCAGGATAAATCTTGTAAATTCCACTTTTACACATCGATTTGTCCAAGTCACTACAGTCAGATGGTTTCTTGACTACAATAAAAGTATAAAGTATATTGAATGATTTAGAAAATGATTGATCGATGACTCCATTGCGCTGCTATTATAGTGGGATATCAAAAATAATTAAATAACGAAGTTTCAAATAAAGCTATATTATACAACTTTATAAAATATTTTATGAACACTTTTTTAAAATTCTTTTCCAGGACCGTATTGTTATAGGCGAGAGGCATTAACCATACAAGTTCATTTTTTATGCACCCACCTAACTTATATCTGCGGAACCGTAGCTCTTAGGTCCTTTTGATAGTCCGCAAATTGTCAAAAAATATCAAACGGACTTAAAAGCTACGGTTCCGCAGCTACATAACTTACGGCAATATCGTATACCATTAGAGAACTATCTGTACTATCTTTTTTGCCGGCGGTCGTCAAATATTCGTACGGTGCAATTTCCGTCAAATCAAGATCAAAGGTCAAGGATAACATCTTATTTTGTCACATTCATATTATGTCTTTCGAATGACAGAACAATTTATGAACACAAGAGAAAAATAAATTAAGGAACAGGGATATTGTGTGTTTTTGTTCATTTGTATGTTTCCGAGTTAAGTGTGTTGAACTGGTATACATTATTGTTAAGGGGCTAACTGAAGCCCTCCTCCAGGTGCGGAATTTTCTAGCTGGCTGCGTTGAAGACCCACTAGGCTGTTGTCAGCTCTTTTGTCGGGTTGTCGTGTCTTTGACACATTCCCCGTTTCTATTCTCTTTTCTATTAACAGTCACTTATCAAACGCATTTTAAAATCTTAATGGCATATTTTCAATGAAAAGCGACTTTTTCCAGAAATTCCAGCGAAACTGATAAAAATGAGCGATCGAAAAACAAAATATTTGTATGTGATTCAAACTGTTAATCAATAAATTGAATACCAACTAAAATCCTTATTCGGTTCTAAGGAAGTTTTTGACATCATCAATTGACCATAATCAAGCTTATTGCTATAAATTCAAAGGCCAATTAGAACAACTCATACAGTTGTCCAAAATTCTGCCATCTGCAAAAGTTCAGCCTTTTTAGCTGTTCTAAGTTAGACACTTCAATGTAGTCAATATAAGGTCGAAGAAACACAATTCTTAAAAATATAAAAAAGATCAAATGAAATTATACATGCGAGTTTTATACTTTAGGTGGGAATACAGGGGTCGAAACTTTGATATTGCAATATGTATTGATTTTGAAACGCCTCGGTGATTTAGTGCTCGCCTTTAGTGCTGGAGGTCGTGGGATCGATCCCCGGACGGGTCAATCCAAAAACTTTAAAATCATTTTTGCTGTTTCACTTCTAAACACATGACAATAAGGAGATAGAACAAAGATGGTCGACTTGTAGTCAAAATAATGTGTCCGGTAGAATGACATGTCTTCATGCGGACTGTTACCTTACGAACTTGCACGTTAAAAATCCGGCTCAGTATGTCAACTTGATTTTCTACTGACTTGTAGTAGTTCATTGACGTTAATTTTATATTTAGATTTTGGGTATAAAAAAATTATAGCAATTCGCAATACATTTAGTTCTAATTAGACTTCGTAAATTGTGTAAATATCAGTAGTATAAAGACAAAAAGTACTGTGTAGGTGTCACAACCCAATATCAACCAATCAGCAACAAGAATATTTTGTAAAAGTAGGTGTACTCTGACAAAACATAGAACTTTAGATGTTACTGTTTGATAAAACACATACAAAACAATTGCTGGAAGAAGCATGCTATTTGGAACATATATTTCGGGTATATATATATTATTTTTAGCGTTCAGCCATCTCTACTTGCACCGTTTATAGAAGATAGAAATTTATTATATTCGCGATTTTTTTTATCTTTGTTTATTAGAAATATCATCTTTCTATCATCGATTAAAAAGGAATCCCTCTAAAACTGTATCTAAAACTTCAGTAAAATAACCCTCTTTCAGATACAAATGCATTGAATCCTATAATTTTCTCTTTTGATTCAATTACTGCAATACGTGCCTCATATAAATATAGTGAACACAATCGTAAAAAAAAAAGAGATAACTTTAAAGTTCAGTTGCAGAGCTGATATGATGAATTTAGATTGCTTATTATTTCACGTAAATCATCATAGATAAAGTTTAAACACGGAAAGAATATACAGCCAGGGACAAGATGATTTCGACTTTTCCGCGAAACACATAAAAGTCCCATTGTGATGTCATTAACCACTGGACTTTAAACAAGCTTATTATCCTTCTTTCCTTTGTTAATAAATGGAAAAAGACATCAAGAGAACAATCATTACCCATGACATGAAGTAATATTGTATTCTCTTTTATAAGATTTTTGGAAAAAAAATATCAATAAGAACCAAAAAAGGTCATTTTGCTTATATTTTGAAAAATTTAGGAATGTTCATTTTTTACCTTTGACCTTGTTTGAACGGAAATTGCACCGTACGAATTATTGAAAACCGGTTAAAACAGAAAGACTAAGCCCGGATAGGAATAACAATACTGTGTTAGAAGAGTTGCCAACGTCCATTGGTGATTTGACGATGGCAAGTCTTCAAACACAGTACTGTTATTCCGTAAATTGTACAACCACACATGTGCTGATCGCAAATTAAACAATTAAATTCTTATTTAATCTTTAGAATTCTGCGAAGTATTAGAAAAAAAGATGTACCTGTACATGTTCCTTCTTGTTCTTCCTCCGAGTCTTCATTGTCGCAATCACACTAAGATTTACCTATACATGTTCCTTCTTGTTCTCCCTCCGAGTCTTCATTGTCGCAATCACACTAAGATTTACCTGTACATGTTCCTTCTTGTTCTCCCTCCGAGTCTTCATTGTCGCAATCACACTAAGATTTACCTGTACATGTTCCTTCTTGTTCTCCCTCCGAGTCTTCATTGTCGCAATCACACTAAGATTTACCTGTACATGTTCCTTCTTGTTCTCCCTCCGAGTCTTCATTGTCGCAATCACACTAAGATTTACCTGTACATGTTCCTTCTTGTTCTCCCTCCGAGTCTTCATTGTCGCAATCACACTAAGATCTACCTGTACATGTTCCTTCTTGTTCTCCCTCCGAGCCTTCATTGTCGCAATCACACTAAGATCTACCTGTACATGTTCCTTCTTGTTCTCCCTCCGAGCCTTCATTGTCGCAATCACACTAAGATCTACCTGTACATGTTCCTTCTTGTTCTCCCTCCGAGCCTTCATTGTCGCAATCACACTAAGATCTACCTGTACATGTTTCTTCTTGTTCTCCCTCCGAGTCTTCATTGTCGCAATCACACTAAGATCTACCTGTACATGTTCCTTCTTGTTCTCCCTCCGAGTCTTCATTGTCGCAAACACACTAAGATCTACCTGTACATGTTCCTTCTTGTTCTCCCTCCGAGTCTTCATTGTCGCAATCACACTAAGATCTACCTGTACATGTTCCTTCTTGTTCTCCCTCCGATTCTTCATTGTCGCAATCACACTAAGATCTACCTGTACATGTTCCTTCTTGTTCTCCCTCCGAGTCTTCATTGTCACAATCACACTAAGATCTACCTGTACATGTTCCTTCTTGTTCTCCCTCCGAGTCTTCATTGTCGCAGTCACACTAAGATTTACCTGTACATGTTCCTTCTTGTTCTCCCTCCGAGTCTTCATTGTCGCAATCACACTAAGATTTACCTGTACATGTTCCTTCTTGTTCTCCCTCCGAGTCTTCATTGTCGCAATCACACTCCTTATCTTTTCCACATCCATTGGAGAGAAGTTCTACCACTTTGTCGGCATTCTTACCGTGAAAGGTCACACCTTCAAATATAGTTTAGGAACCGTTGATCAACACTAATTACAACATAGTCATGATCATCAGAGGTTGATTTAAGTTTTTTTTTTTTACCCCCCTTTATGGAGCTACATTTATGGTTAATCCAGACATTTTACCTCTATCACCCCAAATTTTATCTCGTTTGGGGGCCCGCACTCCCCCCTCCCTTTTCATAATCCTGGATCCGCATCTGCATGATTATACCAGTTGTGAATGTAATCATTCAATAACATTTCATACGGAAAACTTTCAATTAATCTTAGGCCCGAGAATACAGTAATTTCGTAGTGCATTTCACTAGTGGGACAACATATATTTAAAATTATTGAAAAGCCTATCGACTCTAATTCAAAATATGGACAAATTCATGTTAAAGGGATCTATAATTCCGTTTGACAGCTTCAGACATACTAATGTTTTTACCTTTTCAAACTGGACCAAACCACTACTGAACCTAAAAATCCTTGCCCCAATTTCTTTTGATCCCACTACTTGCTATCTTATGCATAAAATATAAAGAAATGATTTGGAAGGTGTATGAAAAATATTTGCAAGTTACACACTATCCACACTAGGGACTTTATTTATCCTGACCATATTGGGACAGCTAAATGTTTGTGATCTTTAAACATTTTATGTGTAAATACACGAGATGTCAATTAAAAAACTTATCCACACAAATCAGACGGACATTCCTTCCCAAAGTTGAAATCTGCTAATGAATTAGTAACAGCCAATACTAATAACAACACAGACCATATAGTCATTATGCTATCTGAGGGAACTGATTCGTAACAAAAATATTATTCACGTATTTAGAAACTGTTAATAATTTATAGATTGACTTGTAACCATATAAACCACCATGTGTTACATACAACTCTAAATATCAAGTTTCCATGACAAAGGGAAATTCGGGAACTCTTTTGGTAATGTTCCAACTATATATAGTACATGTAATTCTTCGTCAATTCTGGAAACTTATAAAAATAAGAAGATGTGGTATAATTGCCAATGAGACAACTCTCCACCAGAGACCAAATGACATAGAAATTAACCGAACTATAGGTCACCGTACGACCTTCAACAATACGCCATATAGTTAGCATAAGTAATTCCCGAATGATTGATTGTTGTTGTCTGCTTAGTGTTCAATAGTCCACTGGACTAAAGCAAACAACTATAGGTCACTGTACGACCTTCAACAATACGCCATATAGTTAGCATAAGTAATTCCCGAATGATTGATTGTTGTTGTCTGCTTAGTGTTCAATAGTCCACTGGACTAAAGCAAACAACTATAGGTCACTGTACGACCTTCAACAATACGCCATATAGTTAGCATAAGTAATTCCCGAATGATTGATTGTTGTTGTCTGCTTAGTGTTCAATAGTCCACTGGACTAAAGCAAACAACTATAGGTCACTGTACGACCTTCAACAATACGCCATATAGTTAGCATAAGTAATTCCCGAATGATTGATTGTTGTTGTCTGCTTAGTGTTCAATAGTCCACTGGACTAAAGCAAACAACAATAGATCAATCCAATGGACAAATAGATAGTATAATAATTATCATAAGAACTTGAAAGTATAGTAGCATATTTAAAATTTATTATGGTTGGGATTAAAATAAAGGGTTGATAAACAAAGTTTGTGAATGAAAAATCGGAAAAACCAGAAGGGTTCGATAGTTTGAAAGGACTTGTGAATCACTGATTTTCACCAATTTTTCTTTGAAGAGAATAGAATATCAATACAAACTAGTATCTCAATTGTTTGTAAAACAATTGAAAGGTCTTTCCTGTAAAAGTGATGTTTTCGTAATGTACTTTTTACGACCTTTCATTTGATATACGACAAGCATACTGTCTGAAACTTTTCGCTTTTTACACTTAATGACCCCATCCGCCTAATTTTCGAGATCAGAAGTATGATATATGTAATGTAGACTTGATGATCTTTCATTTGATATGCGACAACACCATCCTCTAGAAAGTTTGATTTTTGCACTTAATAACCCCATCCAACTAGTTTTTGGAGAACAGGAAATTTGAAATGTACACGTTATGACCTTTCATTTGATATACAACAACCTTATCTTAAAAGAAAATTTATGTTTTGCACTCAATGACCCCACCCAACCCATTTTTTGGGGACGTCAGTTTGATATTTGAAATGTACGCTTTATGGACTTTCATTTGATATGCGACAACCTAACCATCTGAGAAGTTTGATTTTTTTGCACTAAATGACCCCACCCTTCCCACTGGGATGAAAAAGGGGTTTGAAATTTTTCATTTTTTAGTAGAGCTCATTTAGACGTTCAATTTGATATACATAATGACAGAATTTGGCAAAGAGCCAAAAATGATGCAATATCAATTATATAAATAGAACTTATGAAACTTACAAAGTCAATGTAAAAGATGAAAATTTCAAATTGATTTTTTTTTTTTGAGTTTTTCATTGAAAGTTTGTGGTAATTAGTCAAACATATAACCATGTTAAACTCATCAATTTCGGAAAATTCCAGGTGGAAAGTTTCTGTTGATTCAGAAATACATGCCTCCGCTTGCAAAATTTCAAACTGCATTATCTCTCAAATGACAATAGATATCTCAAATCTGTTAAATGATAAATGATCTGCAGTTAAAGGGCAACATTGTTTAAAAAATTTGGGACAATTCCAAAGTTCATCAAGGTCACAACGAATCATCAAATATATGATGCAAAACCAAACTTGAGAACCGGAAGTCGTAGAGACATGGGATTACCACGATTCAACTCTGGACAACTTGGCCTTTCAAATATTACAAGGTCAAGGTCATAATACACTTTGAAGGTCAAGGTAAAATTTCATCATGACCTGACATTGACCTCAAATTAAAGGTCTTAAAATACTGATCATTTTTCCAATTTATAGTAGGTTGATATCTGTTACCTTTAACAAGATCTACACACAATACTATACTTTTAAGAATTATCTCGTCGTAACTTTTGAACAGACGGTCGGACAGTTTTGAGCTTAATGAATGAAATATAGAGCTCGTCGAGAGGAACATTTTATACATAGTATGTATGCAGCAAACTCTTATAGTTTTCTTAATATGTAAGCTTGTAATTGCAGCGTAATTTTTTTTGCAATCTGTGACCTTTGACCTTAGGTGCAAATTAAAGGTCACATAAATTAAAGATTATTTGTGAAGGTCCCAAGTTTCTACGATCTCCGGTTCTCGAAATACAATTTTTAAAAAAATGAGTAAACTTTTTCAAGGGAAATAACTCCTTATGAGGATTGATAACATACTTATAGTTTATGTTTATTAACATTGCCATCTGTTCTTGTAGATGCTGCCATTTTCAATTCGATTCTATCTCTTATACTTTTTAAGGAAAATGCTAATAAAAGAAACTGCTTCAAGGGGATATAAATCTCAAAAGGGATGATGAAATCCTACGCAGTTTCATATGGTAATACATCATGATGAGATCTACCTATTGTACAAATAAGGTCATGATATCTTTAAAAACAACGAGAGGGGGCCATGCTGAAAAAACCAATAAAAGGGAGATAACTTCTAAAGGAGATGATGAAATCCTTAACAGGGTCATCTGGTAATACTTCATGATGAGGTCTAACTGATGTTGACCTCTAGATATGGTCTGACTGATGTTGACCTCTAGATATGATCTGGTTGATGTTGACCTCTCGATATGGTCTGACTGATGTTGACCACTAGATATGGCCTGACTGATGTTGACCACTAGATATGATATCACTGATGTTGACCTCTAGATATGGTCTGACTGATGTTGACCTCTAGGTATGGTCTGACTTATGTTGACCTCTAGATATGGTCTGACTGATGTTGACCTCTAGATATGGTCTGACTGATGTTGACCTTTAGATATGGTCTGACTGATGTTGACCTCTAGATATGGTCTGACTGATTTTGACCTCTAGATCTCAATGATGTTGACCTCTAGATATGGTCTGACTGATGTTGACCTCTAGATATGGTCTCACTGATGTTGACATATATGCTAGGTTTTCTTACATATATTTCGATGTGCCCCGTGCTGTCTATCATTTGTTGTTTAGTTTTATATGTATTGTCTTTCATTTGTTGTTTCGAAATTATTGGTCTTTTGTTGGGCAATGTTGACAAATTTATGTTGAAAAACCTCGCCCGGAATTATAAACTATGAAATTCATTGACCGTCGTACACAAGCATCGCACAAGTTGGCACTCCGAGGCGGGTGGGAACCAAGAAGGTGCATGAACTGTGGTTTATTTTTATCAATAGAACCGCTTAAGTCGACGTTATGGACCGTCTTGACCTTGTTGTAGGGTATGAATGATTCGTTCATTGTTGAAGACCATACATCAATTGTCAAGATGAAGAACAGGAATAAAAGCCCTGCTCATTGATAATTTTCTATGTTTTCTATGTATTGTGTGCGATTTTGTCCCATGTACATTTACTCCATATCCTTTCATTTTCTATCGTATAAAATAAGATAAAATATATGTTTATTCCAACGTATAAACAGATAAGATATATGTTTATCTTACCTCCTATACATTTCTAGGAATATGATTGGTTAAAAGCGTCCGCGTGGAGACCGTGTATATTCCATATTAGGTTAGTAGGGAGGCGGGGCTTATTTCATACACGGTTAGTAGTGGTGTTACGTCCCTTTATAAAAACAAAACGGTACTGAGAAAAAAATCTTAAAGGTTTCAACAGACGAAGAAAATTGATGATGAAGATTGAAATAAATTCATAAAACACATTTAAACCTAACAAGTTGTTATTGTTGGCATCTGTTTTTGTAGAATCAATGGAAGTATAGTTTCTTAATGCTAACGGTATTGAAGACTTGCTCATTTTGATAGGTCACTAGTCTAAATTTCACACGTTAAGATAGTCGATAAGATAAATTCGTTACATAGTGTGCTAGTGACGTAATACGGTATATATGGGGTCAGTAAATTCCATATCGGGATTCGAGCTTCGTTCTCACCCCATATGGAATTTACTGACCCCATATATACCATATTAGGTCACTAGCACACTATGTAACTAATAGTATTCCAAGAATAAAGTGAGATAAAATATATGTATATTCCATCGTATAAGGTGAGATAAAATATGCGTATTTTATAGCGTATAAAGTGAGATAAAATATAATACTGGGTTCAAATTGTATGATGAAAGAAAAGAAATGTTATATGTAACCTATAAGATAGGTACAGTGGACTTTGTAGAAGTTGTGTCCACTCTGAGTTCTCGCAAACCGGGGACAGGCGGAAATTACAGGATCATGCTCAGTCAAAACTGTCAAATGAAGTTAAACATGCGAAAATATAGTACGGTTAACCTTCCGACTTGTATGTATTTCGTGAATTAATCGGCCCAGTTTACACATCTATAACCTATAGAAACTAGGTGCTTTTTAGAGCCTGTACACGTATTGCTCATGCACTTAGGTCTATATGCATCCTCAATAATGATCACGCTCCAACATTGTGGACTAAAATATATTTCATTACAAAAATCTCTTGTTTGTTGATCTTGATTGCCGGCCTTTTTGGCGGCTTAAATTTTCTTTGTATCTTCTTTAGTTTTTTGTCCAAAATACAAAAAGGATAAAAATCGTCAATTTAGACCAATCACTTCTACAAAAAGTCTACTAACGATTTCGACAAACGTTTGTTTTTTCTACATTGGCTAGAGGTATAGGGGGAGGGTTGAGATCTCAAAAAACATGTTTAACCCCGCCGCAT